AACTGTCTCATGACAATACTAGATCTATGGAAATTGGGTTTGGAATTAGGCATCCATTTGTTCAATTGCAAAGTATATAAAAAGTAAGCAACAATATTAACATAAATAGTTGTTAAAATCTTGACTTACAGGATGCGAGTTAGAGCAAGGGAGGGCACCACCATAGAAAGCGCTATCTACCGATCTGCTGCAGGGCTGACCAGAAGGATGGGTTTTCAGCATCGAGGGGAAGAGACCAACCTCTGTTTTTTGGCCGAAGAATCTGAGGCCTTTTCCTTGCGATTTTCAGAATTTAGGGGAAAGTAAGGCATATTTTCCCCCCTTTTTTTTTTAACAAATTACAATCATAGGGAGAGGGGGGAGGGGAACTCCAAAAAATCCATCATTCAACTCAAAATAATGTTTTCACTGACAGCAAAAGTGACAAACCACTTAGCCTGGGCAAGGCATATGAATATACCAAAGTACATAAGATGGGCATTTTAAACGTGATTGGGATTTATTATTCCAAGTAAACATAAACTAACTACAGACTACATTACACTTGACCCTCGTGGTCTGACAACTCTAGGACCCATCCTAAGATGCATCACTTATAGCCATAGAGTTGGGATTCAAATTTTCGTCCCAAGTTATAAACTGTTAAAAAAAAAACTACAGCACTACATTGTTATTAAAGGAAAAGAAAGGGTGATTATTAAAAATCTAGCTAATGTCTGGGAAACAAAGTAAGCAAGGCAAATAAAGGCCCCTAATTTACTTTGGGTGGTGCGAGAGTAATACCTAAATTCAAAACAATCCTTGGATTGAAGTTTTCTGCCTCAGTTCCAAACAACCCCATTGTAGGCGCCTGATTTCCTTCACAAGCCACCACAGGTGGTGCCAGAGTCAGGTCTAAGTTCGGACGAAATTCATCTGCACTGGTTTGATTAAGAATTGGGTCCAAATTGGTTGTTTTAGTATCATCATGGTGGGTTTGATGGGCAATTTGCTGCTGCACGCCGCCAATGCTCGAGTTCCTCTTCCACTGGAAAGGGAAGTTGTAATTGCACCAAACCAGAACTCCTTCTTCAGTCTGCATCCACACTCCGGATTGACCTGCAAAGCCTCGAGGTGGAACTCGGAGTAGACACTCCGATGCTTAAGTCAGCAATAATCAAGGCTACCTTTAGAGTGGAGATAAAATGAGCTTAGGGTTGGTTTCAATTACCTTTTTGGCGTGGCCCCTGGGGGGTGTTTGTAGGCTCCAGTGAGGAACCCACGTGGCATGCCAAGCAAGATAATCGGAGGCTGACGTGTCTCTCCAGACGGTTATTTCGGGACCGAGAAATTGAGAGATATTCGAATGCAAGAATGCCCATCGTAACTGTTGTGCAGCTTGTCATAAGGAATCAGGTGCAGGCATGCTTATTGTCGCTGTCATGCAGCTGTTTGAGCAGGAAGTGTTGGATTTATCCTTCACTTCGGTTATAAAGAATTACTGTCGTGCTACGGCCATAGTGACCACGAGTCACATGCTTTACTTCAGCTTCAGCCATAGTGATCCAGTGTCACATGTTTTACTTCGGCTCCAACCTACAATAACCCAGTGTCACATGTTTATTTCGGCTCCGGCCCACAGTGACCTAACGTCACATGTTTACTTCGACTTCGACTCTTATGACTCCGGTCATTGCTTATTACCTCGGCTCCGGCCACATGACTCCGGTCATTACTTATTACTTCGGCTCCGGCCACATGACTCTGGTCATTATTTATTACTTCGGCTCTGGCCGCTATGACTCCGGTCATCATTATTTCCCTCGGCTCCAGCCATAGTGACCCCGAGTCACCTATTTTACTTCGACTCCTGCCATAGTGACCATGCGTCACCTATTTTACTTTGGCTCCGGCCATAGTAACCATGCGTCACCTATATTACTTCGGCTACGGTCATAACACATGACTCCGTGTCATGCAATTTTACTTCGGCTACGGCCATAACACATGACTCCGTGTCATGCGTTTTTACCTCGGCTATGGCTCTAACACATGACTCCATGTCATGCAATTTTACTTCAGCTACGGCTATAACACATGACTCCATGTCATGCATTTTTTCCTTGACTACGATCCAAAACACACAACTCTATGTCATGCATTTTTACCTCGACTGCAGCCAAAAACATTGTTGACGTGCCAAAATAAATGGAGTCGCCATCTATCCAAATGAGGTGGGATAGATCACCAAGGTCTTCGTAGAAATTGACTAGGCTCGGAGGGTCGGTTAAGCATGAGGAAGGTGTTAGGCACCCCACAAACTTCCATATAAGTATGGTTACCACATACTTTAATTTTGGGGTATTTTTCAATTTTATAAACTAAAAATTACCAAAGCAAGTAAATAAATAAATAAAATAAAGTAATAATAATAATAATA